GGAGGGTAATTGATTATTAGAGGGATTATTAGATGTTTATGGAATACAAGGAACAAAATTAGTATTTCAAACTGTTCTTACGCCCAAAAAGATAGCTGGAAATATCTAATAATGCTTGTAATAATTTTAATTTTAATTTTTTAATTTTTAAAATTTAAGAAAATCAACGAGGAAAAATCTATTCATTATTAAAAACTATTAGAAATGATTATATTAAGACCTCAGATTCATTAGAGTATAATATAAACCTCTTTTTCTAGCAAAAATTGAGCTGGCAGTATCTAAAAATAATTTTTGTAACTAAAAAGTAAATCTTTGCAAAGCAGAATCGAATTTAAATGCAGTAAAACTATCAGGGAATATTGTTTAATGCTTTAACATTCACTTAAATGTAGTATATTATGATTACAGCTTCTGCGTTCATTCAAAAACATTCCAGGAAGTATCTTAAGATACCTTTTCGTACAGCAAACTAAAACTTTGTGAGGTAGAATCATGTTATGGTCTAGGAAAACTATCAGGGTATGGAATATTAGAGTTTTATATTCATTAGAGTACCAGTTCAGCCTCTTCTTTTATACAAAAACATTGCCTGGAATATCTTGTAGCTTGCCCAACTACTTTCCTGAGTGGTTCTTCCTTTAAAAACCCATTTTCCAGCTCGTTTGCCGCACCAATTCCTGTCTTAACCCCTTTCAACTCGCCTCACAACATTTGGCACTTAACCCGCTCTCTAAAAAAAAAAAACAACAGCCAGTTCAGCCGGAGCATCAGATGCTCTAATTACGCAAACATGTTGTCCATTTGAAAGGCAAGCAGCAACCCTCGCCAGTGGAAAGGAAAATCCTCCATCCGTTCTGCAGTGGAAATCGTCCTGGCAGCAGTGGAAACCCTCTATCTATCTGGGGAAACCCTGCTTCACGCAGTGGAAACCTCTTTAGAGTGGACTCCCCAGCGTATGACACACATTTTCGACACCTGGCGTGTGTCTCTCTGTGTGTGTGTGTGTGTGTGGCATGCCCCAGGGAATCAAGCAGGGAAGGGGAATGGAAATGGGCATGGGTTTATTCGAGTGACTAAATGGGAACACATTTTGTTTGTTGTATCTCCTGTCCCGTCGAATAAACTAAACGTGTTGACTGCTGAAGAATTACATTGCATGTATGACAGAACTTTGTCAGCCGCAGAAGAGGAGTGGAGGAGTGCGATGCGACCTTTGATTAATGATTCAGGCAAATGCATATGTGTGGCATGCAGCCCCCGTCTTTCCTGTGCAGTTTGGCAACTTAGAACTTAATTACCAAACCAAATTTGATATACAACAAAAAATCTTCCCGCATTTTTGATGGATTTGCTGGGCTGGGCAGGGCTTTTTGGTTGGGTCTGTGCCTCGGTCTGTGTCTGGGGGGCTTGGCTCACCGACCCTGAGCGTTCAGATCGGGGCTAATGATGCCCCATTGTCTTGTGATGCGTAAAAATGATGATGCCTCGAAGTCCACTAATTTCTGGCTGTAAGCAGTCGCAGCGACTTGCTTCAATGCATTCTGTGTGTGTAGATCAGACAAAAGAGAGCAGAGCAGAGCAGAGCAGGCAAATGCGGGAAGTCGTCGTCATCATTGCGGCGGCAGCAGCGGCGACGACGATTCATTTCCGTTCTGAGGGGGCATGCAACAAATTTAATATGTTTTGTGTGCGGACGAGTCTCGGGAGATTTTTGTTGTTTTTGTTTCTTTCCCTGATCGCAATTTTGCGCAGTGAACTGTAACCGGGAGTTAATTAGCTCAACGAAATCGTCGCCATAATAGGTCGCATCTAGGGGCCACTCCAAGGCGCGCGCACACACACACATTTACATAAAGAGTATCTGTGGCAGGGAGGCGGAAGAAGGCTGCGCGATGAGGGTCAAGGAAGCCAAGCAGGAAATCTTAATGTGTTTTTGTGTGGTCTTTGCCTTGGGAATAAGAAAGGGTTCCCTGGGTTTTGCGGTTGCTAGAGATCTGAGATTGTGCTGGGGAAAAGATACAAAAAAGATGTGTGCAAGATAGGGATACGGAAGCGCAGATAGATTTATTGGAAATCACATTTCATTGTAAATTGTTTTGGGGGATTTTTCCTGCATTTAATTTTAAATGATTTTTCCTCCTGCTACTTTTTTGGATTTTTCTTCTGGTTTTTTTTTTCGACTTATTTGTTCTTCCATTCGAACTTCTTGACAGCTTGAAATATTTGAGATACTTTAACACACAGCTTTTCCTTGCATTTCTCCACTTTTTCCCGACGCTTTTCCCCGCCAGTTTCTGCCGCTTTTCTTTCCTCAAACTAATTAAGCGCCGTGGTGGCAGCGGCAGCGGGGGGAAAATGGAATGAAAAAGTACAGAAGAAAAACCGTTGAAAACCTCAAGCTTCTAAGCATGTTGTTGCCACCATATAAAAATGTGGGGACCTGGCGCCAAGTCGTTACATGAGAAAATACAAACACAACAAAAAAACTTCTCAACAACATGCCAAGTGGCAGATACAGATACATTTCGGGCTACTTTTAAAGCGAATAACACACAGACACATAGACACATTTCGGGCTACGTTTTCAGGGGCGCCACCACTTGAGGCACATCTTTTTTCTTCTTTTTTTTCACAAGTACAAAAGCAGCCGCACGGCTCAAAATTATTTTACAATTTAACACAAAAATAAAAAAAAAAACAGAATAAAAACAGCAACAAAATACCAGAAAAACCCCAAAGAAGAAAATAAAAATAACTAAAAAAAAATGAGGAAAAACTGAAGGCAGCAGCAGGCAGAGGTCCAAAAAATTATTTCACCTTGTGGCACATGGCTCTCGAGTGCCGGCCGAGAAGGTCTTTGAGGCAAATTGTGGCACCTGTGCGGTTTTGTGTGCACCGCCTGCGTATCTTTAGATGTATCTGTAGCTGTAGCTGTGGCTGTGGCTTTGCCACTGTATCTTTTGCTTGTGCACCCGCTTTGACACAGTATCTGTGTGTTGCCGCTGCGGTCTCTCGCTCTGTATTTTTTTTTTGAGTCAAACAAATAAACTTGCGGCCAAGTTATGACAGTCGACTCCTGCCACTGCCACAACGAAGGAGGGAGCTGGGGAGCTGGGGAGCTGGGGCCACAGGAAACATTATTCTTAGTTAGATGCTAATTAATTAGAAGACGTGGAGGAGTAGGAGTAGTAGGAAGGTGCCCCAGCCAGGGGCCAACAATTCGGTGGCAACACAGCAACACTGCCAGCAGCCACTGCTTGCGGCATGTGGGAGGAGACACAAGGCAATGTTGTCGAACCAGTAGTCGCACCACTGCCCCCTGCCACATTGCCACACCATGCTGTGAATGCAGTCGAGAATGACATTTTTTTTTTGTCGAGTGGAAAGAGTGGTACATTTCTTGACAGGTATAAATTTTGTTGATTGTGGTTTTCGTCAGTGCCAGAGACTGAGAAAAAAAATGGAGCCAGTGCCAGAGCAGCCACAGAAATGAGGCTACAGACGGAGGAGGAGCAATTCATTATGTTGGAGAAATTATAAGAAATATACGAATTTCTATCTAAATTTGTACGGAAAATGTATATTTTTTTAGTTAATACTATTCGCACTTGGCTTAATGGAAAACTTGGGCATTTAAGCAAGTATTTTTTTAGCACAAAACTACAAACGAAACTAAGACTAAACTTTCGTTTAATCAAATTATAAATAGAAATTGCTTTTGACAACACATTTAATCAAATTGAAAATTTGCTTCTCTATCAAAAATACTTCTTTATTCCTTGCTTTCAATTTAAAATAAATTAATCAGCCATAAAAAGAAGCATTTAATACAAAGCCAAAAATCCGGCATTGTTTCATTTGGAAACTATTTTCTTCTAATCAAAATCCTCTTGCAAAAATTGAATTATTATGTAGCTTCAATTTTTGGCTAAAGAATTTTGTATAGCAGTATAATTAAATCAATCAATCATCAGGCCAAATGAAATATTCATACATACATGCCGAATAGATGAATAAGCCACAAATTAAAGCTTAACTGGCTGCCGACACAAACGACCCACAACAACTTGGACTCATAAGAATGGAGTTGTTGGTTTTTTTTTTTTTGTTGGTTTCAAGATTTTATAATAATTATTGAGGGGCGCCCCAAATGCCGCTTGAGGCAGTGCGGACTTCCCCCCTTTTGGAGGCTTCGCCAACTTGTTTACACAAATTTTAATTGGTGTAATTATGATTTTTACACGAAATTAATTATGCATGCGCCGCTCGCGCGATTGCGGCACTGCATCTTTGCAGATGAACGAACAAGTATCTGGCGGCTGCCTCATGCCACATGCCGCATGCCTCAATCTCTCAATTCAGTTTCTAAACAATTTTCAAAGTGAGTGAAGTGTAAAGTGCGCGGGGGCTGAGGGAGGGAGACTCATTAAAGTTATTTACAACAGCAGCGAAGAATGAAGAATAAAGAATGATATCTGGGTGGAATTTTAATTACCTCTCGAATCGCGCAAGAAAAAACAACTGTGGAAATTATGAAATACTTCGGGTACAGAGGGAGATGGAGAGAGAGAGAAAGAGACGCCACAGAACTGTTAAGTTGCCAAAGAACTGCAACTGGCAGATAACAATCTCGTATCTTTCGGGGGAAAGATCTTTCTCCACTCCACTCCACACACACACACACACACACACACACACACACACAAAAACATACACAAGAGAAATGCTGGAAGATATTCTTTTTCTTTTCTTTTCTTTCTTTTTTTTCTAGCATTTTTATGACCTGCTCTGCTGATGAGGCGCAGGCTGCCGCTTTGTATCTCGTATCTATAAGATACAGCAGGTTATTTTGATTAGCCCGAGATGTTGACAGTTTGACTTTTTCTTAATTTGTGTTTAATTAATGTTTTTGGTGGGGTGCGGAGAGGAAAACATAGGGAAAAATGGGTTAGTTATGCGGTGGGTAATGTGGGGAATGCCATGCGATAAGATTTAACCTTTGTGGTGGCATGCACCCGCTGTAGATATATCTAGTCTGTTGTGGGGCACAAACATCCGATGTTTACACATTTTTTAATCGTGTAGCGACATTGTTTTCACTTTGGAGGATTTCCCTAAAAAAATATTCTATTTATTTTCCTATTTTTTCTTTTTGAGAAATGTTTAGGGCAGAATTCTTTGCGTAATTTCATTTGTTATTATTTGTTATTAATAATTCCATAAAATCTTTTGCAGATTGAAGTTTCTTATCTATTGTAGAAAATTGTTTGCAACTATTTTTGTTTTATTATGCGAAAGTTGTGCCAATTTCTTTAACTCTTCCGCAAGAACTCCACAAAAGTCTATCGCTGAATTTGGATTTATTTATTTTTTAGACCACACAACCTTTAACTCTTCCACTTTCTGCTAAAAGAAAATGTTTCCCCACTTATTTATATCACTTTTGCTTTGTTCTTTTGCAAGAATAAAACAAATACTTCCCCGCTTATTTTCCAAAAACATTTGCAAGTTGAGTTCTTATCCGAAATATATTTTGCAGTAAAAAACCCCATTACCTATTACTCCATTTACTATTCCTGCTGTTTTTCCTTCTGTTTTCTTTCAGCACAAAAAATGTGACTCAAAGTTCTGTTTCATTTTGAAAACCAGCAGCCAAAAAACATTTGTAGCCAGCTTTCTGTTGCTGCTTTTAATGCGCAATCTTTGCTTAATAAATTTAAGCCAATTTGATAAAGAAACTTGTTTCCGTTGCGTCTTTGCCGTTTCCTAATTGATTATTTGCTTGCCTTATTTATGCACCCGATACTCGCTTTTATTTATGCAATTGTTTATTTATCTTTTTCACTTTGTGATTTCATTCTGGTTTATTTACATAATTGCTGTTGGGTTTTGATTGCTACACAAGCAAACAATTGTTTTTAATTGATTTCTGCAGAGATTGATTGAGATGTAATGAGAGGGTAATCTGAGAGATATTCTCAGGAATATGTCACTGCAGTTTCCTCTGAGTTTTCTCCATTTGTTTGGTGTTCAATTTGCAGACTTTTCTTCCATCTGCCACAACGTTCTATCCGCCCATTTTCTTTGCTTCTGCGACTCACCTTTAAATTTCTGTTATTTCTGTTAAAAGATAAATGTATTATCTTTTTTGTTAAATTGTAAGAATATCTGCTGATTGTAATCCTTAGTTTTGCTTGCACAATTTATGTTGGGATTTGATGTTCCCCTTTTTGCACTAAAACACTCGAAAATTTTAAATGCAAAATAAATGCAAAATCACTGCACACGATGCACCGCACTTGAAAGATGTTGCTATCTTTTGAATCTCTGGGTTCTCAGGTGTTTGCATATGTTAGGGCTTGTGGCCTTCTATGTGGCACATTTTACACACACTTTGCCCCGCATTGATGGCGACGCCAAAAGCACAGTTGCCGCATTTTAAACACTTTATTTATTTCGATATTCTTGCCACCGATTCGTTGCAATTTCTCGCGATAAGCGCGCGCGCGATCTTCGCCGTTTTTACCGAAACTACGATGCGATGATGATGTGAACCCCCGAGATATATATTCGTATTTAGCGTACGCGACGACACTGCAAGAAGCGTTGTTGTTGCCACGGGCGCTGGGATGAGTCTGAAACCCGGCGCGACTCTAGACCGCGGCCCGTTCTTCGCTGCTTGCGTCAGCGACGTCGACGTCGACTGAGCGGCTGGCTCTCTGGGCCTGAGGATTGTGTGTGTGTTTTGGAGTGGAGGGTTCGCCCGTTCGGTCGGTCGGTGGCTTTCGATTCTTGTAACGCGCCGAGCGAAGGTTGACGAGCGATTGAATGGAACGAGCGATGTAAACCCGCAAAGGAGTCCCGTATCCACGACGACGACGACGATGTCAGCGGCAGCGGCAGCAGCACGACCAAGCCAGTGTGTGGTGTGGCATGTGGCATGTAAAAACCGAACGAACGGCAATTGCTCTGTGTGTGTATTGGTGCTGTAAGTGTGGAACCTAAGAGAGCCAAATGGTGTGGGTAGAAGAGTGGACAGAGAAAGAGAGAGAGAGATAGTTGAGAGCATTAAAGAGCGGCGTTTCGTTGAGTTTTTTCGTTATCGTGCTCGCTCTCTTTGAAGTTGCTTGGCTCTCTTTTGTGGGTTCCATTTGGTAATTGAAGTTCTCTCTTTGGAGTTTCAGGTACCCTTCATGCCTTGCCAATTTTAAACTATTTTAGTTTTAGTTTATTGTTTTTGCATATTTGGGAATATTTTTTATTTATTTTTTTATATTTTATTCCTATTTATTTGAACTCATCCTTTGTCCCCTTTGTGTTGCCGGTATATTTTTGGGCAGCACTCCAAACCACAACACTCGGTGCAACTCCAAATTAACAAACATTTTGCAACTCCATTATCTCTTTTTCTCTGTTGCACTCTCTTCACACACAAATTTCTCTTTGTATAAGACTTTTTCCCCTTTCCCCTTAACAATCTGTTAGCGGAACAGACGAAATTTAAGCGAAACAAAACAAAAGAGCAAACTGTTTTAACTGTTGATTTGTGTTTTTACTTTCCTTGAGTTTTCACATTTTCACAAGTAAATAAATTTTATACAAATTTTTTTCGTTGAGTTTGTCTGCCTGGCGGCACACGCTGACGCTGATGAATTTCCAATAATTGCCGCTCACATTAATCAAGATATTCACACACACTCACGACACATGGAAGATGGGAGCCATGAGATACAAGATGCTAGCGTGGAAGATAGAGATACATTCGCCGCGTGCGTAACGCGCCGCAACTTGTCATAATGTGGCATTATGGTTGTTGGGCTTTAGACCCGTTGAGATTTTCCATTGGGGAAGAGCGAAGAGAATGCCGATCTTGTCGATGATTTATGGGAACGCTTCACTTCGGTTTGTTTGCGCGATATAAAACTCTCCTCTACGATAGAGTCTGCACTGGTTAGCGGCAGGGGGTAGTGGTAGGGGTAGTGGAACGTGGTATGAGAGTGAGTGAGTGGGGGTGGGGGCGGCACTTGTAGATGGTATCGGTTTATGGTCTCTCGCCTGCCTCGCTTTTTGATTGATTGGTCGGAGCGCACTTTGTGGCTGGGGAAGGGGGGCTGGCTGTTTGCCTCCAGGGGGGCGGCGATACAGCCGATACTCGTGTGTCGCGTTACTTTCGAATGTTTTTTCTGACTTGGTGACACAGTTTTCAATAGAGCTGCCATGAATATTTTTTTCGAGTGTTTCCGCTGCTAATCTGCTTAATCCATACAGCGTTTCCAATGTGTGCGTGACCTCATAAGCTGTGATCGGAAAGGGTTTCTTCCATCGATGTGAGCGGAGTTTGGATCTATGGAGAGTGAGTATAAATGGTGGAATTTGTTTTTATGGAAGAGCGCAGCTACTGAACGGGTAAATATGGATTTAGTTTAAAGCCATTTATAGCCCTGGGTTATGCTTACCAAAGGCTTTACGCGCGGGGATAAATATGTACATGGACAAGGGGACACATGATCTGTTTGCTGCAGGGCGGTACATCAAGAGTTAAAGCGTATGTATGGGTTGACTAAAGAACAACAACTTGTAGGTGCATAGATCCGTTTGCTCCGTATTAAATTCTAGATAAGAGAATGTGAATCTAGGTTCTGAATATTCTTCAGTCTTGCTGTGAAGGCTCTTTTTTACTTTTTTACTTTCGTTTTCTTCTTCAAACACAATCGCAATTGTCCATGTTTCTCTCTTTCTTTCTTTTTTCTCTCTGTCGATCCTGGTCTGCTTTACCTGCACGAGCTTTTGCCTCTCGCACGCAATACAAACTGCTCACAACTCTTCCAACAACAACAACACACACACACAAAGTCGGCAGAGGCTGCGACTGAAACGCGCTCTTGCACTCTCATCGCTGACCACGCGCTCTCTCACAGCAAAACACACATGAACGAAGCTCAAGCAGTAACCAACGGTACTTGCATTTTGCTGCGTAGATTATTTGTTTTTGTTTTCAATGCTCACTGCAAGCCAGTTTCAAGGTTAATCGTCGAAAGAGAGACACAGGAGACAGAGTTTTTTTACTCTCTGCACAGAAGCTTCTGTTTATGCTGTACGCAGATTAGTTACGCGTGGAATTTGGCAAGAACGGATCATTCAACAAGCGTGAGTGAAAAAAAAGACTGTAATTTAAAGTAAATGGGAATTGCATTGTTAAATGCAAAGCAGATAATCCAACAACATTTAGCGACAGGAAGGCAAATAGAAAACGGAATTACTAAAGAATGATATTTCTTCGAAAGGTAATTAAAGTTTCCGCTTTCCGTCAGAACTTGAATGATTTCCAATGTAAAGATTTAATCCATGAAAATGTGCATCCATGCCATAATTGAATGCTCTGGTAAACAACGATCGATTTGATATTGTTCAAACATTTGCACATTTTTCGAAGCAATGCCTCATCCTACAAACAAATATGTATGTAGCTTCTTCCCTGAACAAACAAACGATCCCATGCCATGCCATACCGCGACACAATCTTGTCTTGTTTTTGTGCCATGGGTCGCGGCAGGCAAACACAACTCAACAGAAACTGACAGCTAAATATGAAGTTCAAACAAATGCTGTGCTAATCGCATATCTGGCTGATAAATTTATCGAATTCTGCTGCTCGAACGTCGCTGCTGGCTGTGTAAATATTCATTCATGATAAGACGACAGAGACACAGAGTCTTCTGCAGTCCCGGACTCTGGACCCTCTGTCTGTCCGCTGCCACGACAATTTGTATATTTATCTGCTTGCAGGCTGATTGCATTTTTGTGTAAATTCCCTTGGCCATAACCATTTGTGGACTCTCCTCTACCCTCTCTACCCTCTCCACACGCTCTGCACTCGCTGACAGGCAAACATTCCGACAGACAGGCAGCAGCGCGCAGGCGCAACAGTTTTGTTCGGCGAAGAGTTATTGAATGAAGTCGGCAGTCGGCTGTCGGCTGTCGGTTGTGTTCGGCTGTTTGTTTGCATAAATGATAAATTGCTAATTG